AGGACTAACTTCCAGGAAGTATGCCGTCCTCTGCTTCCTGAATTCCCCCCATGTCGACTACTAATTTCTGTAGGCTTCTGGTACGTCAGGTACAAACCTTCTATGGGTGGCTGGATGCAGAATGGTTGGCAAAAGAATGCATCAAAAACTATACAAAATGCAGTATTAAACTCTTAACAGCCCGGAGGCCTGCATAGGAGGCTAGATATTATTCTGTATGTCAATCTTCCCCCAACCATGTGCTGTCAACCTACTCTGTCTGGACAAACAGAACGAATCTGATATATATCCAAACTCAAAGCAGACAGTGAGCTAAAAAGTACTTCCATTCCCAGAAGTAATAAGTAATATTTCTTCCTCAATAACCCATGTTCAGTAGTGCACATGATGCAATATATCTACAGATCTGAAGCTCCAGGCCTCGGAGATTCCGCTTCTATCTACCAATTATCTGGCTTTATCCCCAGAAAATCCCCTGCCAGATTCAATATCGCCTGCAATAAGCTACTATTGTTTTCCAGCCATCCAGCGCACAAGTAGCATAAAGGAGACGGCTTTAGAAGATATAAAAATCTGGAGTACTAGAATCTGCAGAGAAAATACAGACTTGTAAAAACTTTATATTCCACCTGCCCTTAATCACATTGTGTTACATGAGGTCACACTTAAAAATCAGGTTTATTTTGTCATATACGTTTGATTGTTTGAAAGTTACTTTTAATTATCATTTCGAAGGTGATTTTGTTTCCTTATAGTGAAAATTTTAAACCTATTCAAAATGAAAAGTGCAAGACTATGTTGAAATTATATTTTTGCTACCGTTTTCACATTGGTCAAGGTTGGTTTATTTTTTGATTGATACACTGCTGTACGTAGCCATGCTTATATAACTGTACACAGTAATACAGACAGGGTTTAAACGAGGACAGTTTGAGTACAGCCTGTATTTCAGTTTAACGTCCCATCCCACCATTAGACCTGCTGTTACATCATACCTGATTGTATAGTACAGTGAACAACTAAAAGCATCGGCAAAAGGTTGCCCTTTTATGGCAGGGAATCAATTAGGGACTGAACAGTAACCTCCATAGGGTCACAAAAGGCCCAGGGGTGGTTCATTTTATGTATAAGAGGGAGGATCACATGAAAATATTTTTAATGTGCCAGTTGCCACACTAACTTAATTTCTTTGACTCAGACATTTTTAAAATGTTTTTCTTCCAGCTCAGTAGTATTTTCTTAATCATAAAACCAACAAATCAAATTGGTTTGGCCTATTGCGAATCCTTATAAGATTATTTTCTCTCACAATCATTCTCACTTTCCAAGATTGTTGATGCTTTTTCCACAAGTCTGAACCTGCTGTTATAATAACAATTACTATTCTATAACTACAAAAATTACTGGAAATGGGAAAAAATTAGTTTACTCCACAGCCATGGCACACTTGTCCAGACATGCTTTTTACAATCTCTTCAGGATCTACCTAATCCCTGCTGATCCCCCTTTCTGGATGACTTAATACAAGATAATCCTCACTGCCCAAGAAGACTTAATCCTGGGCCAAATCTCATTAAAGATTTCTGTAAGAAGAGCCAAAACCCTGACGATGAATTCAACAACAGTTTTGGACTGAACGATTTGACATAATTTTATTTTGGTATTTTAATTTTAATATTTTTTATCACTGTAGGTCATACAAAGATCTGTGGTCTGTCTTTCAGGTGTACCTTGGTACATACATTGTAATGATAAAGACATTCCAGTAAAGAAAGCTGCCGTCTTTGTGCAAACACATCACAGGAGGACAAATTTTAACAAAACTGCATGATTTTCTGATTTGGACTTCTAATACTAAGTAATAAATTGATTACTTCTAATATTGTTGGGTTCTAAAGCAGAAAAAATTACCTTGGATATTCTATTGATCACTTCCACACAGAATCTCCTTCACACTCAATACCACATTTGTACACTGATGCACAAGTGGGTCAGAGTATAATACACAACCTCATTACCCTACAACCTGATGTTACATTCAATTTCTCTCCTGATCAGTCATTGCAGTGACTAATATCACTCCAGAGAGTTTTCTTGGCTGATGTTATGTGGCAGGGAAGTTCCAGAAGGAGGCGTGCTGTGTGAAATTTACTTCAACTTCAAGATCACAACTCAATCAGGCACAGTTTGTCGCTTCATTATTCCTAGTAGGAGTGATGGAAAATACTGTAAGACTTAGTCATGATTTTGTCATGATCATCATGGTACTTGCATGTTCACTGTTTTCACAAACACTTCAGAATCTGTACTGTGAACTTATAAATCATTGTCATTATCAAATCATTTTTCTTTCGAAATCGTCCCTAACCACCACCACCCCGCTCCCTCCCTTGCCACCAACGTGAATATTAGATATTAAGTTCTGTCCAATTTCCTCAGACCATGAAATTTAAATGCTACCATGAAGATAAAGTGAGTTACAGTACATGCACCACTGATTTTTGGAATCAACCTACAGTAGGCTTGCTATGTTAGTGAAGACAAATGCCTTGAACATCACATCGAGGGATCGCCAATATTCCTCGCACTGCACCAAGCACCAATTATCCGCAGAGATTTTTCAATTACTTTGAACTTGACATTGCCGTGACTATTGAACTTGGAGTTGTAATAATCTACAAAATGACCTTGGTGTAGAGGACAAATGCAAGTCGTGCTTTCCTTAAGACATTTAAGCCGTGTCTCAGGAGACACTTAAGGCTCTGAGCTTCTTTAGCTCAAGAAGGCCGTCTCCTTTAGCTCATTACACTTACTGCAGTTCAGTGGGGTTTTGTTAAAGCCACATAAATTTGCTTTTTACATGACACCCTGTGGAGACTGCAAATAATGTTTATTATGTTTTGAGAGTCTCAATATAAAATTACGACAAATTCTCTCATCTGACAGTTGCATTCTACAAAGACTGCTCACTGACTGAGTGGCTTCTGGTGATTTTTGGTAGGATGGAAGTTAGTTGCATTTTGTAGGAGGAGGAACACTGGCAAACACTGAACAAGAAAATTAAAGAAAACAAACTCTCCGTATTCATGGCAACAATTTCTATAGAAAAAATATCTCCCAAAGTCAGCATAAGATAACAAAAATGGAAACGTATCTCAGGACACTTTCAGCTTGCATTTGGCACACATGTTATCAGCAGCATCCAAAAACATCAGGCCTGTTGCATCTAGTGTACATGTATCAGTGTTAGGCCATTAAGTTGCTTTGCCAGCAGGGCCGAAGCTATTTTGAGAGCTGCTGTAACATGCCCGCCGTGGACCCTGAGGTTTTTCACAGCTGACATATCACGATTCACTAGTTGCTCCCATGGCACTGCCAAGTAATAACGGCAACTCCTTTAACCCCAATAACACACCCGGCCACGATCAATATACCTACCTACCCATGTCTTACTACAGCCTGCGCTCAATAAGTAATAATATTACTCATTCATGACTGTGTGAGGAACACTGCGTACTGAATGCTTGTGAAGTGTCGTATTTTGTTTCAAGTTTGAGATTTGTGTGCTACAGTGGTACTAGCCAGTGGTATCCAAAAACGTATTTTAGCGGAGAGGTTGAAAGAGACTTGGCAGGTAGAATAGGTAACAGGTTTTGGATACCAGGCTACTAGAGTGCTACCATCATCTCCTGAGAAGGAGGGGTGCCTACAGGTTTGTGTAAAATTCTGGTGCATGGTGGACTGCAGCTCATTTTGCATAGTTGGGACCTAATTTGCATACTTGTGACAGTCTGACTTGAATTTTGAGCTCGGATACTGCAGAATCATGTAACATTATCTTTTCCTGCTAATTTTGTTGTTGACACCAACACTTTCCAAACCTGAAACTGAAGAAGCTAGATTTACAAATATGATTGTCATTAGCAAAAAAACACATCTCCACACGGAGGTGTTATTTCAGCATATGGACTACAGCCCTGTCCTGTGTGGGAGGAGTAATAATCTCACAAAGGTATAAAAACTGAAACATGGTGTCAGAACTACGTCATCACGAGCATCAGGTGTTACTGTTAGTCATTGATCTGGCAGGGCTCCAAATTCACTTTTGGGAATAGGTCCAACTGGAGGCTTACATGTAGGAGCACAACATGAAGTAAGGTAGAATATCTGCAAAACCTAATCTAAGATTCTTTAACTGCAAACAAGACTAACAGTATACAAGAAGAGTTTTCATTATTTCTTTGAAATTCTTTCTGACACCTAAACATCAAGAACATTATGCCATATCAAGAGATGATGCTCCTACTGTACTTAATCTATCATAGTTCTAGAAAAAATAACAATATTTTGAATGCTTCAACCCTGGGTTGTCTGCTACCGTGAAGATTAAGTGAGTTACAGCACCTTTAAGTCTATCTAAGCCAAAACAAGCACATGACACTGCTGTGTTTCACCACTGGATTGACAGGAAAGGTCGGATGTTTTAACATGGCTCTCTCTGATCACATCTGTACGGCTTGTCTCAGCCATAGAAACATGTCGGAAACTAACACAGACTGAAAGGTGAATGTGTTTAATGCCAGCGTACAGGTGTGAACAGGTTTCAACAATATCACAGAGCCATTAGGTGTGTGTATGTGGGGGGGCATGGTGGGGCAAGTTAACTACTTGTACCTGAAGGCCATAAAAATAGCTCTTGTCAGGCCACACCAATTTACTTTGTTCCTGGATTAAGAAAAATAACACTGGAAAAATTTTAGTGTTACAAGAGAGAGCCTTGACAACTTTAGACCTCAGGGAGGGTCCAATGAGATTTATGATGTGAAGTAACTTTTTTCACTGTTTTGGATCTGTACCCAGGATGTCGTTGTTTGAGCCTTTGTCATCCATATCATCAAATCAGTATGGCCTATCAGTACTACTGTACAGCTGTACACGTCTACTGATGTCTCCTGTAGTCTATCAGATCACAAAGGGAAGCAGACAGATGAAAGACAAACCTCTTTCCGTAGCGCGCCGCTCGGACAGTCTTTCATGAAGTCACGATGCCTGCAGGGACAAGAGAAGACATCCAATTAACTGCCGCGCTCTTGTTTATCAAAGCTATGGTATCGCCACGGTAACTGGCGGGATCACTATGGTTACCGGAAGGACAGATATGCTGCCGGTAACCAGATTGAATGTTGTTTGTCTCTTTGTATCAGAGTCTAAATAAATGTGCATACAATTATTTCTGGATCATTAAGTTGCTGTTACCTATGAATATTACTGTATTATTAGATTAGAATAAATCTTATCTACCTTTACTGGATTTTATCCATAAAAACACAGCATGTACATTAATATTACATACATGATACATGATTATTATACAGTACACACAATTTATGACAGGACTTACTAATACAGAACAGCACAATAAGTACAACGACAAAATGATTTATAAACAAATTGTTAAATTCTGTGTTTAGATTTAGAATTTCTCTTATCAGCTGACAAGTGCTGTGACAAGCACACATTACTGGATCTTGTCAAAATACAGGAAGAACTATTAAATAAACCTGAGGAATCGATCCTGTTTTGACAGTTGAGTTTGGATGAATGTCTGTGATTCTATATACAGTAACTGGTTAGCATGTCACACTGGTATCAATCTGAGTCCATCACAGAGCTTGAAGTTAAAATGTCAGACGTTTATAGTTACCGGTAAAGCATAAGCTGGGTTTGCTATGGATTATGTTTAACATTTTATTACCTTTGTCTAGAGGGTAATATGCTTTGTACTAGTAGTATGTAAAATCATGTTTGGATGTTCTTTAGCACAATAACTTGATGAGCTAATATCTGTGACACATGACAAGGTGACCCTGGCAATAGTCAGGTACCTAGGCTAGCCGAGGAGCCGAGGAGCTAGCATGTATGTTCCCACAACAATCTCAATGTTTTTCCACATCACAACTAAGAGCAGTTTTATCTACCATTTCAATCCACACAACACGACTCAATGTCTTCAATTCAATATTACAGTCTGAAAATTGTTCCATATCAGTATGGAAAAATCTCCAGGCTAACATTACAGTCCACAGATTGTCTCTCACCACCTCTTCTGACCAACCATCCCACACAGCCAACATCAGAGATAACCTTGCCATGTGTTACACTTACAGACAGTTTTATCAGCCACGTCTGACTCAAGTCAACACCAGCATTACCCCACCACTGGCCTTCCCCCAGATAAAGTCACAACAACCAATCTGACTACTGATTCAATTTCTGCAGCAGTCTTTGTGCAGTAACGCAATTTAGTACTGCTGTCCTTTTGCAGTTGCTGTTTTTTACCTTCCGGGATGGAGGCAATGTTTTGGGTGTGTTTGTGTGCTTGTACAGTTGAGTGACACCATGTGGGTGGGGGGAATTCCCTAACCACAGATCACAACATGCATCCACATTTGTATCTGCCATATGACTCCCCAAGACCTGAGAGCATCATACCCCACCCCCTCCAAATACTTTGAAATAGATTCACACACACACACACATCAACCCTCCCCTGCACTAATTTGATTCTAACCACCCGCCCGTCCCTGCAACAGTTGATATGAGAGACAGATGGGTGAAAATCCAATTTCTCCACTGCGAGCCCTGCCCGGGTAACACGGCCGATCGATGATTTCGTTATTCCGGGCAGTTATACGAGATGGGCGAGAAATAAACGCAGCTCGGGCAATGTTTGGGAGCTCGTTCTGCGCATTTCCAGCCAAGGGCGTCGTGTTGGGAGCCGTAAATTACAGTGGGTTGGACAGATACAGTTTCACAGGTCATCCTCTGTTACCAGTACTGTTAATCCTCAAATCCTGGCAGTGGTTTGATTTTCCTGTTCAAAATTTAGGTGCACACAAAAAATTTAGGGTGCACATTACATAACATACAGTAGAACGTCAGCAAAATGTTATTACACTTGTACAAATCTTACAGTGTCTCTTCAGAACTATTATGTTATTCTAAAGCTAACTTCAAAATTTTTACTCTAAGTAAGATTAATAAAAAAACAAAGATTTTATTATTTTTCTGACACTTATATTTGAAGGACTATGCTGCACCTTAGTGTGCCCACTAGTCAAAACTAGTGAGGGGCACAGCTCCAATTTCATATGCAAAATTGCACTCACCCAATATTTCCAGCCAGCTCTACATAACAATTAATAAGACACCAACTTCACACAGGCACATAGTACTTGAAGCAGCAGCAGCTGGTTATATATAAATTATATCACATCAAACATGGCACATCTGAACCCTGTACAGACAGCTACATCTGCTAAACATGCCCCTGTTCACAGTGTCTCCTTCTATTTCTGGAGCTAAAAAAAGAGCAGCGAGCGAGCGAAGACGTCTATATCAGCCAGCCGTAATGAACTGTGCAGCCGTAAGTCTCGCTGCAAAGTGAGTGGATATTAAGCAATTATTACCAGTACAGATCTATCTATAGAAACCCTGCCTGAGGTACTTGAAGCAGCAACAGTTATTATTGCAGAGGTAATACGCTAGGTGGTCCATGAAGTGCTGTATTATTAGAGCCAATAATAAGAAAGGCTCCGTGCAGGGCCCAATTGCATCTCACTTCAACTGGAACTACGACTCAAGAGCAAGCCAGATGTTACAAAAACAAACTCTCCAATTTTTTTCTAGATTTTGTTTAAAATTGCTTCTCATCACTTGGTGTATATCTTAAAGTACTATCACATCAAGAATATATAGAGGAAAATATAATTACTGATCTCTATTCCTAAATTAAGGTCTGGAGGAGAATGTTGTTTGCAAGTTGATATGGAAAATGAATTTCATGTATATGTCATGTATGCACATGTAACATGTATTTATGATAAATGTAGCTGAATGTGTATCTGAAAATGTCACCAAATTTCAAGTCAGGCTTTACATTAAATATTGACATACATGTAAAAGATTAAGTTGTATTTTTATGTATTTTTAGCCATTTTCCATATAAAAGCGTGCCTTCGGCGGCATCCCTTAATTTAGCTCGGCATCTGTAATCCACAATGAATGCCTCCAATCCACCCTGTAACAAAGCCTTATTAACAACATTGTTGACATACCAATGACATGTTTATATGCACGCTGCTGTATACAGTCAACAGGATTTTTGGCATTGCTAGTCATAATTAGATGGATGGTACCATCTACCCTGTCTTAGGTTGGGGGGGGGGGAAATGAAGCGGTTTTCATGCATTGTAGGTGATGTTTTAATGTTTTTCTTCACTATGGTATCGAATGTCACTTACTCAAATGTTATATAACATTTTTATAACAATTGAATTCTTCAATATGATTTGTAACAAACTACAATTTTTTTATATGAGTATAATTTTATGTTCTCGCAGAGAAATACAATTCTTATTATATGAGTATAATGTTATGCTCTTGCAGAGTATTCAATTTTTTTCTTCAGTATGGTATCAAATGTTACTTATTAATCAACTATCAATTTTTTATAACAATTGAATTTTTCAATATAATTTACAAGAAACTACAATTTTTTTATATGAATATAATTTTATGTTCTTGCAGAGAATTTGTCAACTCGTGGATAAAATTCCAGCAAATACGCAGTTACCAAAAACATGGCTTCAGTCTTTGGTTGTGTAACACAATGATTAAGTGAATAATACTTGACTTGCAACGATTTGTCAAGCACTTAATGAAAGTATTGTTCCAGTCCTAATTGATCGTTAGATAACGGGTTTCCGTGGCTGAACAGCAGGAAGCTTTCAAATTAGTCTGAATTTATGGGATTCCCCCAAGGAGTGATTAACCAGCCACCTGTTAGTGGGTGGGACACATGACAAATTTCAGAACAGGAGAGAAGATGAAAATAAATGGCTACAGTTGTTTTTCCTGACTGTTTTCTGCAGTATGATTCTCTCCATGCCTAGGGCTGCACTGCAAAGCAGTGTTGAATCACTGAGCGGGCTACCCTGGCTAAAGAAAACAAAAATAATAATAACGATAATGATAATAATATATTTTCAGTTTGCGAAACCTAAAAAGTGCTTAAAAATTTACTTGCAATTTAAGAAAAACTTTTTGCTGATACCCCAACCACTGTTCGTACCATATTACAAAGTTCAAGCATTAACAAGCTTGAGGAGCTAAATTTGAGTAGAAACTCTGAAATCATCAATATATTTACATTAACATTTAACCATAACATTTACCACAAATTATAACACATTCTATAACATTTTCCCCAGCAATCTAGACAATATTTCTGCAAATTCTACATGTCAGGTTTGACTTTGAAGCCCTCCAAGCTTCAGTGGGTTTCTGGAGCCTGTCCAAATGTGCAGCTCCAGTGTTTAATGTGTGCCCACTCACTGTGAAATAACAGATTTCCCCATGTGTAGGTCAGGGGAGAAACAAGATGTAAAGAAGGGATGTTAGAACAGATATGTCAGACTCAGAAAAGCCCTACAGGGTGCTGATGTGAATACTAAGTTTCTTTGTCTGTACTATTCTAACCACCCTTCAGTGTAAAACACCTATTTCAGAGGAACACAGCACTAGCTAGGTATAGTACAGTTATACTTGTACTAGTGACCACCTGGCCATTGATAAAAAAAATTTACAACCTATACAAGTGCCACCTGGTTCAGCTACATAAAGGACCACCTGGTCATTGATATACAATATACAAATGTACACTCGAACCTTACCTGTACTAGTGACCACCTGCTATACATGTATAACAGACCACCTGGCCATTGTGGCCACTTTCATACACAACCACCTGCCTACAGTGACATGATTTTTTTTTCTTTTAAGTCCCTTGAGTGATCATTGTTTGCTGTAAAAGGAACTTCCTCTGACTCCCATATGAATTATACATGTCTACATGGTTATACGTAAGTCAAATGTTCACTGATTTAAATTTAGAGAATTTCTAGAATAGATAAAATGTCTACTTACCATTGTTGTAACTCCTTCTTGTCAACTGTGAAAAGAAAGAGATGAAATGTATTAGGACACTGAACATAAATTGATTTTCTAGTCATCATTATATGACACTGACATTGCATAACCCTGAGCCCTAGTGCAGTTGCCTATTAGTACTGATTACATACATTTTTCATTTTATATTTCTCCCAAGGTTTGCCCTTAAAATAGCTACTCGTTAGTTGGGTAACCTTGGCTGCATGTATACCAGCCAAACACATGAATAAATTTCACCAGCCAAACTTTCAGCTTGTGTTGGTTTTATCGTTGTGTAAACAGGAGTAAAAGTTCAGGTCTAATCGCTTGTTGTGTGACACAGTCCACAGGCCAGAACAAGTGGTGTGTTTGTACAGCACACACATCAGTCCATTCAGACCAAACTAACCACACCACAATCTGCCAATATATCTGCACCCCATTCAGAAGGGAAAACACTCAGGATTGGGTCCAAGGGAGGGTCTGAAAGGGTTTCTGTTATGACATTTTTCATATGACCTGTTTACAAGTTTAGGGTAAAAAAATTGACAAAGTTATGCTTTTGCTTGATATGCAAATATTTGTTTTGTAAGTGCTTAATAATTAAAAGATTCGGTACGATTCGTGTAAGTGAGGTTTTTTTTTCTTTTTCATTTTATCAGTTTTAGTTGACAACAAAAAAGTTATATGAATTTTTTTTCCTAATGATCGTTATATTCACAACTACACCTCACAAACACTCAAACCTACCTGTACTTCTTTAAATTCATTTACATTCGCGATGGCTTTATTTTCATACAAGGAGGGAAAAGGAAGTTTTTGCTGTGCTTAAAAAATCAAATTCACAACTTTGAAACAATTGAAAAATTATTAATATTTTTATTATTATTATTCCATAGTACAGTAGCCATACATTTGAAACACAAATTCACATGTCATGACTTTGCAATGGAGGGGTCGCCGTAAAAAATGCAAAAGTGAAAATTTCAATATTTACAGTACACGTAAGGCTGTAACCTGATACCACTGTCCCAAATACTTTGCCAGCCTCCATGCAGCTGACATTTAACCACTGGATCATGTTTACTTCTGGGGAAATGAAGATCTGAATTAGTAAATATTTTCTCTCTGAAAGCTAAAGGTGACGACTGATATTGTGTTCAGCTGAAGGCTACTATACATGTATGTTACATTGTTAGGCCACAAAATTTTAAATCATTAAAAATGTTATGAAAAGAAAGCCTGAGTACCAGATCTAAGTCTCGGTGCACTTAAGTTTTATGCCATACATAATGACATGTTCAATTTTTTTCTGCCCTCTGCTTTTATTAGCCTGGGTTCCATCCTGGTTAGTTTACGTACGCTCCCACGGTCGTTGGTGGTAGCGACTGTGGGAGCGGACGTAAACTAACCAGGATGGTACCCAGGCTATGCTTTTATAGTTATTTACATAAATGCCTGAAGTGTTTGTTTTAATTACTAGTTATACATATTAAATGGGGCTGAGGATGTTACTGAGCACTGAGCAGCCTTTGTAACCCCTGCTTCTCCTATTGTGTCAGTTAGTCTTCAATCTCAGTGAGTCCAGGTTGTCTCTAGCATTGACTTTGATGTTACTAGAAGAGGTACTATTCCATTCATGTAACCGTGTCTTGTTCCATGGCAATGACAATATGACAAGAGAAATAAGCCTGACAGTACACAGCACCACTTTCACTATCACACACCTGATTGGGTACTAGTATCTCATCACACAGACCAGACTTGATGCTATCTGATCACACAGGAACCTCCCAATCAGCCATGGGGACATGCATAATTCATATGTCCTGATCACAGACACACACCAGGATAAGGCACGGGCCACAGCTCATATTTCCGCATCAATCACACAACAATTAGGACAATGGACAACAGGTGGAGGATACAGAAGCTACCTGTGGCACCTGTTCAACCCAAATAAAGGTTTTCACCTGTTCAACTCAAAATAACCAAACATTGTGTGTTCTGTATTTCCCCTAGGGGTCCATGTATCAGTGCATGTTTCCTTTCTGAGACTAAGGAGATTATAAACATAACCTTTTTGCTGACACAAATACAGTTGGGCCTGTACTGGTTACTTGGGCCTGTACTAGATATGGTGACCACCTCTAGGCCATTATAGCCACTTCTTGATAAATTTTTCACTCACCCACCCACCCAAGCAATAAGAATCCTGTCTATGATGGCCACCTGTCACCTGTGACCATTTCCTGATTCTGAAAATGAAAGGTTTTACTGTACAATAGAAAGTGGCCCAAACAGGGTGGACAATTTCCCAAAGGAGATAGCCAGTCCTGGTTTCCCCATGAATTAACTCATCTAGAACAGACTTCTCTGGTTGATGACCTAGTTTAGCAAATTATCCACTATACTTAGGCCTATTCAGACTGTATTTCAGGTAGAGTATATGTTTATGTACTTCATACATTTTTGCAACCTGTGTGCCAACTGAATGGTACTTGGCAGTGGTTACCAAGTCCAAGCAGATGTGTGAGGGAAAATGGTAACATTCTCTTTCCTTTTCCTGAGTGACTCACAGCCATTTTCAAGACAGGGCTGGGCAGACACGATATGACCTTCCCTCCTACCATCTACTTGGAGGCAGAAGACAGTGGAGTCTGTCAGTGAGTAGCCAGCAGGTCTGTTGATCTAGTAAGACGATCTGATGTGCACTTGTTGTGCTGTGCAATATGCTGCAGTCTGTCACAATATGATATACAAGGGGGCAGACCAAAAACAATGAAAAAGGGGTGGGGTGGGTGGGGGCTCATAATTTGAAACTAGCCTGATGCAAATCTCAAACCGATACAAACTGCACAAAATTGTACGGTTTTAGAAATCATTTTGGTATTTGATAGGTTGGGGGAGATTCAGTGTACTATATCATGACTGCTGTGCTCCTGACACTACAGTTAATGTTCAGTCCCTAGCAAGGGCCTTGTCAATAGAGTAGGCGTACACAGCCCTCTATGCTACCGTGGTATGTTTATAGTGGTATTTTCCTAACCAATTCCTTTATGTCTGTGAATTTGGTCAGTTTTTTGTTGCTTTTCTGCTCGCAAAATGCGCAGAGAAGCGACCGGCGTGGCGAAGCGACACGGACAAGCATTTCAGCTATGGCCTGAACTTTCCGCCACTTTATTTTTAGCTTCCCTTCTCGTCAGCCTTTCCCGCTAGTGTCATGGGCACGGGGGAGGCAAAACCCAATAAATAAACCTCATTACCCGCTGATAGATCTATTACCGACGCTAACGGAAAGCGTTAGGCCGGAACAGACTGTATTTGTGAGAGTACCGAAGCGATGAAGGGCAAAACTTCGGGCAAGGGTGGCGGGGTAACCCGCAGCCGGAAACTAGGCTACCCGGTCCCCCACTCCGGGACGTGGTTCTTCCAGAATTCTTTAAATAGCTGATATCGCCTGCTTGTGTAACGAGGGGTCGATCGGACAGAATGCTTACTAACCACACAATAAGGAAGTTGCGGGGAACCGAAGACACAAAACTGAGACGCCTTCAAGACAAGACTGTCATGAGACGCCGACGGAACAACTCACAGTAGGTGCACTCCTGAAGTTCCTTCATTTCCCCGGCCGTCAGCTTGCTGCCGCTCTTCCCCATGGCGGATATTCCCTATTTGAAGAGTCCTACAGAAATCCTACAAGTCCCAGCCCTTGCCTACCGCTCCGATCTTGAAGAAAAACGCAGCAGGAATCTTGGAAACATAATATTTAGGAGGAGAAGTGCTCGGAGCTCGCTCTCTCGGGCGCCATGATGGGAACATCCCACGTCACGTGACTTCCAAATCAGAACAAGTCGCCGGAACAGTCCACTTCACAACAACACGGGGGTGTTAGTTTGCAGTTTTTCCCGTCCATTTCATTTGGGGTCGTTTTTATTATTTTCCAATAAATGATTTCTTAATTTGTTTATTAGCCTACTTTTGATAACACCACAGACCACAAGACCTGCTGCAAGGTGCCAGAATAGTCCACTTACTCACAAAATTTAGGGGTGTTGTGTTGAACATAATTTTACTTTTTCTGATCTCAGAAAAAAAAGGAAGTAAAACCACACTATGGTGAACTTGAACCATATCATACTTCTTTGTATTATGTGTAGTCACTGAAGGTACGAATAATTTCTAAAAAGTACCCATCGATTCCGCTAGAGGGCGCCCCGTCAGGTTAGAAAAAAATGGCGGCCTCAGTAGAGAATTTGGGCGCCGCTTGGAGCACAGTAACTGCCGGTCTACTGCCGTGCCGGGGACAGGTGAGCTTCGTCAGCTGTGTAATAGTGGAAATAACCAACATATGTTTGGATAACTGTGTGTAAAAAGAAAGTTTGAGGTAGTTTTGAGGCAGTGGCGACAGGAAAAAGTGAGGGGGGAGGGGGGCGTATGTTTTTATACACACGAAAGGGAAAATTCAAGAGTATAGCAAGTTAAATTAAAAGCAGAGTAGAATCTGTCCAGTATCTGTAAACACAATAACTCGAGAAGGCTTAGATGAATGATCTTGATATTTGGTAGGTGGGTAGGTCTTGTTGGGACCTCAAAACGATTAGATTTCGGCCCCCTTGCAGCTTGTTAAGGTACTGCATTATTGAGATGTCCTCTTGTCCTTTAAGGCAAAGAAGCCCCCGACAGATGATGTGTTGAAGTCAGCCATCACGGTTCTGGACCAGCATGGGGTGGCTTTCATCATAGAGGAGTGGTTCCTGGAGTCCATGCAGTCCGACCTGCGCGAGAACATCGGACCAAAGTTCTGGAATCATTTCAGTGCAGAGAGCAACGGGCCTAAACAACATGGAGCTGACGGTATGTAAATTCACCAACTTTTGCAGCGTGGTCCTTTTTCTTGTATAAGGAGATTCACAATTACGACTGCACATGCCCAGTTTCAAAGGTGACATGATCTGTATCTATAAATTTTCTGTATAGCCGTTATGACCACCCATGTGCACATTAACACACCAGCTTTTCATTGAAGGACCAGTTACACCAAACCTTAGCACCTCTGCAAGCATTGTTCAAAGCTATCTAGTGATAATGCCCCTACTGTACTTGGTGACAGTGAGGTCCACTCTGCAATAGTTCTAGTTCAATCCTTGGTCTGATAACTCTGGTACTTGAAGGCATGGCATGTTGTTCTAGCTACTAAAGTAACACACTACAATGTACTAGTAATAAGAAGCTGTTATATGTTTATATAACAGGTACTCTGGTCACTGCCTTTCGCGAGCTCCACGCAAGTTTGTCGTCGTACCTCCCGAGTGTGGACGTCTTGGAGAGACTGCGGCAGGAAGGAGCCAAGCAGAGTCTTAAAGACAAAGTCCTGCTGATCTTCAAGGCTCTGTTGTTCTACGACATTCCGCTGAAGTTCCACGGGGTGGTGAAGGAGTTCTACAGCTGTGCCTTCAAGGCTTGTGAAGAGGTTAGATGTAATCTAGATCTCCAAGCAGATGTTTCAGTTGCTGCAAAAGACAGTTTCGAATTGGCCTGGCAGTGTCCTTTGGTGGCTATAATGGAGACTCCTTTGGCCAATGGATACTGTCTTGCCACTGTATGATCTGCTTGGAGATTAGTCAGATGCTTGTTTGTTTGTTCCTTTGCCAATTTTAGGAAGGTTTTTTTTTTAGTGCTGTTTGTATGTGTATGTGTATGTGTGTTTCTGTGTGTTTGTTTGTGCGTGCACTTGACATGTTACAGTGAAATTTCAGTAAGAGGATGAGATATTTGAATAGATGGGAGGGAAACAGTAATCTAACAATGATCTCCACAAAACTGATCATGTCTACCAAAGTACTAACTTCTCCCTTTTTTGTCTATCACTTTGTTCAGCATGTTACTTTTTGTTCAAGCACAGACAAAATCAAACTGTTGTCTCACAACAACATCCTCTATATCTTAGGAGCTGCGTAAGAATGAGAAGACGTCCCCAGATGAGGCTGGACCAGAGGAGGAGGAGGAAGAGGAGGAGGAGAGTCTGACATGTGGAGGATGTGAACAGGAGAAGGATCGCTGCTCCTGCACAGAAACTCTCACTCTGTTTCACCAACTCAACACTCAGCTGTAGGTTGGAGTAATCATTGATCAGTTAATAAGGTTATAGATGACTATTGAAAATTGTTCAATAGATTGTGATCAAGACAAGGATCTACATGGATAAGTTCTGATTACAACAGCACATTTAAAGGAATTTGTGCCATTCTTGTGAATAACTGTGCTCTGTAACATATGTTTTATTAGGCACAGTTTGGGCCTGTTGATGAAGTGAGTATGTAGTTAGGCTATAACAGGGTTTGGGTGGTGAATAACTGTGCTCTGTATTGTACTGTAGGTTTTTTAAGGCACAGTTAACAGCTGTAATGAGTTGGGGTAGTGACTATGTATTAAAATGCTCTGTAACATATTGTTTAGGCACAGTTTAGGCCTGCTGGAGCGGGTATGTGGGGAGGCCGTAACAGCCATCATCCATGACCGAATACAGCAGCACATTCAGAACACATGTCAGGGCGAATTCGAGTCACAGTTTCTACACCCTCTCGAAAAGGTATGTATGTCAGAATGCATATTTTTGTTAAAAAATGCAGAATATTTCTTGAACCTAGAATTTAAATTTCACATATAGAATTGAGGAAAAATTTGAAGATTATAATTATGGTTTGAGAAGCAAACACAACACGGCCGCAACTCGCAAGAAAAATTTGTACATGTATATGTGTTATGAACATTATTTTGCAGTAAACAGAAAGAAGTATTTTCAGCCCTGACTCCATCTTTGACAAAAGCATTTTTGGACTCGGCCATTTTGTTGTTCATCTGCAGTTCTGTTCAAAGTTGCTAGGTGGCATTAACAAACATGGTTGTATTGCAGTGGTTGACCAGTAAGGTGGTGAGCTGGCTGCACCTTGTGTTTAAGGGCTCACCTGGGCAGGCAGGTGAGCGGGAGGTCAGCGCCAAGACACAGGAGTCACTGGACAGGTGGCAGACAAGACTGCTCTACTTCTTATACCAGGTGAGGCAACGCACCAGGTGAGATCACAAGATTGAGGTAACTTTCTATTTGGAGAAATTTGCCATCAAAAAGTAAGAAGTTTTGGATTTCTTTTGAGTTGAAATTTTATAATAGCAGTGTTTTTCAAGACAGTTAGTAGTAATGCCCGGACTTGGTTAACGTCAGTCTTTTTACATTTTTAATCCAGTTTCAAGTCCTTCTCCTTTTGTTCCTTCTACCACTTTTTGGCAACGCCTCTGGTGGCAAGCTTAATAGTACAGTATGGAAGCAGTCAGCAAGAATTCCACAGCAATTCCACAGGAATGTCTCTTGAATTGTCCATGCATTTGTATCTATTTTTCCATGCTTTACAGACTTACGGCACTTTGCGGATCTCAGAGATGTTTGACATCATCGTGGAGTTTCCTGACAGCATGTCTGCGCTGGAGGACCTGAAGGTCTGTCTGGAGAAAACTGACCTGCGACAGGCACTGGTCTCATCTCTACGGTCTGCCATCGGCAGGAGGCTGCTGCAGCCTGGTGAGGTCTCCTTCTTAGGCCCAGGGAAAAAATGTTTTGATTCCTGTCTCTCAACCGACCAAATTTAATGTGCAAAGATTGGGTGTAACAGGTCCTTTGGTGCCGCCATGCCGCATGCCTGTGCTGGGAAGCTGGTGTGTTACGCTGAAGGGCGGTTATACCATCTATACTGATACAGATAGTAAAATGGCTTTTTGTAAGCTAAAACTCTTGTATTTTTTCTCATCCTTTTTGTCCCCAGGTGCGACCACCTCAGACGTGCTGAGTCAGTACATCCTGCTGGTGAAGTCACTGCGAGTGTTGGACCCCACAGGTGTACTACTGGAGCTGGTCGGGGACAGGATCAGGCACTACCTCAGGTAAACAAACAAACAAACAAACAAACAAACAGAAAACAATACAATAAAACAGTTATAAAGCTATCATATACTAGTATTTTACTGTGCTGACAGGTTTCAAAACATTTTCACTGTAAAATATGGTTTAACGCTAAAACAAATGATGTTTGTACTTTTTCCTGTAGAACCCGTGATGACACAGTGCGTAAGATCGTGGAAGGTCTCACTGAAGACGAGGGGGGTTCAGACCTGGCGGATGAGCTGATGAAGGGAGATCCCATTACTCTGGAGGAGGGGGTAGAGGAGGAGGGGGACGACCCCTGGGCCTGGACCAAGTGGGAACCTGACCCCATTGACGCCGATCCATGTAGGTTCATTAGGTTTTCCTTATCATCATCAATGCAGATCCTTGTAGGTTTCATTTTCAAGACTTCCTGTCCTTATAGCCCGAGAAAATTAGGATGAAGTTGATTTTGAAGTTTTAGTCATGGCTAGACACGTTAAATGACCCCATTGATACAGATTTTTATGAGTACTAGTATGTTGTACTTTCTTTTTGTTGTGTAATGCTTCACTAATTGAGTTTCTTGGTTCTCAGACATTTCAAGATTAAGGCAGACATCATGAAAGCATATGGCAGGGTAGAAACCTTGAAATATGACTGAATAAAACTGTTAACCTTGAATCGCTTGATGACTTTAATATCAAGTAACTCATTGGACAATGGTGTCATCATCTTTGGCAGTGGTTTGAGTCTTGAGCTCTGGAACACACAGCCACTTACAGACCCATTTATGTATGTACATGTATGTAGTCTAAACGTAGCATTTTTCAATTCCTTTTCAGCTAAGACGTCGAAGAGCCGGCGGTCGCCAGACATCATCAGCCTGCTGATCAGCATCTACGGCTCCAAGGAGCTGTTCATCAAGGAGTACCAGTCTGTCCTCTGTAACCGCATCCTGTCCTTCAACTACGACCTCACCCGAGAACTCCGCAACCTCGAGCTGCTCAAGCTGCGCTTCGGCGAGAGCCAGCTGGGCAACTGTGAGGTCATGCTCAAGGTGAGAGGTCGGGGTGCATAGGTCAAAAGTCATGCAAGGTCAAAGGGTACAAGTGGCAAAAGTTGTACAAGGGTCAAAGGGTTTGGGGTAAGCCAGCTGGGCAACTGTGAGGTCATGCTCAAGGTGAGAGGTTGGGGGTTGTGAAGGTCAAAAGTCATGCAAGGTCAAAGGGTACAAGGGTCAAAAGTCATACAAAGGTCAAAAGTGTTTGGGTAAGCCAGCTGGCCAACTTTGAGCTCATGCTCAAGGTGAGAGGCCAAGGGGTGCAAAGGTTAAAAGTCATGCAAGGATTAGATGGTACAAGAGTCAAAAACCTCACAAACATCAAAGGGCTAAAAGCCATACAAGGGTCAAAGCGTATGGGGTTCAAAATCTGTATAAGGGTCAAAAGTTGAATAAGGGTCAAAGAGTACAAGGGTAAAAAGTCATACTATGCACAACTGTTATAATGATTATGAAAACAACAATGAAATCTCATCATGGTGCCTGAAAAGCCTACATGTACATGTATATGCACTAGGCAACTTTGTGGCATTCATTCTTTCATTTATTTATTCTAATCAGATGTTATTTCTTTTATTTTTCTTGCAGGATGTCCAGGACTCGAAGCGCGTGAACGACTTGATCAAGTCAGAGAATCTGATGGAAGTAAGAGTGGAAGTTCTCTGGTCTTGGGGGCCCGTGGTTGGTGGGCTGCGCAGTGCACGCTAGGCACGGCTCCGCAAGGCAGAGTAGCATGAATGGTGTCTGTACAGTCCTGCAGTGCCACCTGTCAGCTTATGTAGGAACTGCAGTAACTGAGCTTGGCTCTGCAAGGCAGTCTCAGCATTGTGAAATGGCACAGTTAGACCCTGCATGTGCAATTCTTGTGCTTGAATGAATGAATGAGTGAGTGAGTAAGTGAGTGAAGAAATGAAGGAATAAGTTGATTCATTTTGCAGCAAGAGGCTCAATTAGGTATCACTTTCAAAGTTTTGCTTCACATTATAGCAGGATCAACTTCGTGCCTGAATTTCTTACTGGGATAGCTCCTGTAGGGCTCTTCTAGCAACAGTAGAGCCCTGCAGTGGCTATCCTCTGGTCAGGTTTAACCGTGTTTCCCCCAGCAGGGCGTGGCGGTGTCCGGGATGATCATCTCTGCCCAGTACTGGCCGCAGCTGAAGGAGACCAAACTAACGCTGCCGCCGTCTGTACAGCAGAGGTTTGACAGCTACACACAGGCCTTCCAGACAGTTAAGGGTAAGTTTAAGATTTTCACCTACACAGAAATAAACATATTGTGGGTCAGTTCCTTTTTTTCCAAATGGTAAAAAAAGCACCAGTATACTCCAACATCTTATGCTTGGAATAACTTCCATAAGCTAGTAGGATGGTACATAAGACACTGCACCCTTGGTCAGTTTGATCATAGAAAAGTGACGGAGGAGTAGAAACAGCAGCTACAGTAAAGTATATCAATTTGATCAACAACAATCATAATTAATGATAACAATTGCAACAGACATCAAGACTGAGAAATCCTGGGAATCGCATTATGTATCACTGAAGTAACTGAAAAATGTGAAGGATGAATAAATGTTTATTCATTTGTTTGTTCCAGCGAGCCGCACCCTGAACTGGTTACCACAGATGGGCCTGGTTGACCTTGACATAGAGCTGAAGAACAGACGACTGTCTGTCATGGTCAACCCTGTGGTGGCCACCATCATCATGCACTTCCAGGACAAGGGTAGGGGGGCTTGCCTTTCTCCTTAGCACTGTTTAACTTTGTTACATTGTTGTTTTTTTAATCAGTCCAAACAAGGAAAACATATTGTTTTTGCTCTGTTTCCTCTTCTTCTTCTCCATTAACCAATAAGGTCAATGACCTGAACCAGACGCCTGTTATGGTAACTAGTGTTGGGTTACATCATGTTGTAATTTATAGCAGGAGGGATTTAGACTTCTGTCCGATTATTTGAATGTGTTTGAGTAAAAATTAACAGAGCAGACTATATGCAAAGGTAAACATTATGCATTTGCTTTGCAAATATTATCTTTCTAGTTGTTTACAGAGTGGTGGACGCTGGATGAGTTAAGCACCGCCATGCAGGTTCCGTCCTCCATGTTGTTTATTGTTTATTTGTTTTTGTTTACAGAGCGGTGAACGCTGGACAAGTTGAGCACGGCCATGCAGGTTCCGTCCTCCGTGTTGTTAATTGTTTATTTGTTTTTGTGTACAGAGCGATGGACGCTGGACGAGTTAAGCACAGCAATGCAGGTTCCGTCCTCGGTCCTCCGCAGGAGAATCACCTTCTGGCAGAACTACGGCCTCATCAGGGAGAACCCGCCGGGCACCTATGTGCTCCTGGAGGAGGGTGCTGATCACCATGGCGATGTGATGATTGACAGTGACGAGGAGACGGAGTCGGCCACGGCCTCGTCACAGGAGATGAGGGAGGAAGAGATGCAGGTGGGTGGGGCTGAGGCGGTTGCCATGCCAACTCACTAGGATTTTGTCTAACAAGCTCAAGGCTTTTTGTTGTTAAGTCCTGAAATCTGAAATTGGGAAAAGTTGCAAAAGTTGGCTTGTTTTGGACAAAAATCATGTAATACCTTCTCAATTCATAAAAGATGTACATGTAAGATTTTTTTTCCCACTCACAGTGATTTTTAAGTTTTTGCATCTATCCAATGGATTGAGGGTTTGCTCTCTTTTTGTGGAGGAAAACCAAGGATTTTTACTTTTTGCTTAAAAAAAAGTTTTTGTTTTTCTCTCCCTAGATGTTCTGGGTGTATGTACAAGGCATGCTGACAAACCTGGACAGTTTACCGCTGGAGAGAATCCACTCCATGCTGAAGATGTTTGCCATGAGAGACAATCCCATAGAAATCACACTACAGGAGCTCAAGGCCTTCCTGGACAGTAAAGTCAGATCACAGCATCTGCTGCTCTCTGGGGGAAAGTACAAGCTGCCTAAAAACAGGTGAGCAGTGCAGCAGTGACACCTATCAGGCCAGGCAATAACTGCAGAGAATACCTTACAGTATACTTGTCATTGTATATCAGGTTCGAATTTCTGGACAGTCAAGTCAGATCACAGCATCAGTTGCTTTCTGGGGGAAAGTACAAGCTGCCTAAAATCAGGTGAGCAGTGCAGTAGTGCCAAATACCAGGCCAGGCAATAACTGCAGAGACTACCCTACAGAACACTTGTAATTGAATACCAGGTTCAAATACAATGTATATGAGCAGTCAAGGCCAGGTCACAGCATCTGCTGCTTTCTGGTGGAAAGTACAAGCTGCCTAAAAACAGGTGAGCAGTGCAGTGATGCCATCTTGCAGCTAAAACAGGAACTGCAGAGACTAGCTGACAGAATAGTTGAATATCACTTTTGAACTTGGATATTTGAACAGTGAGGACAGGTCATAGCAGCTCTTTGTTTTTTTTGGAGAAAGTACAAGCTGCCTAAAAACAGATGAGCAGTGTAGTAGTGCCATCTTGTGGATTTGACAGGAGCTGCAGAACTGCATTAAAATACATGTATTGAACATAAATAAACGAATAGATGGTCAAAACTATAAATCGGAGAATCAAACTGAAGTGAGACACATTAAATTCCAGGTTCAAGTTTATTTGAAAGTTTGTGTATATGTACATAAGATGTATAAAATCATGTTGCAACAATGTTGCCATATGCTTGTAGTGACTGAGCATGCAACAGTATATGGTAGAAAACTGGCAGTACATATATCTGTATATCACTTGATCCTGAATAAAAAATACATTGCAGAAATCTTGCAATAATCTGACATGATGCTTGATTCTTCATCTCCCTTGCCAGTCCAGAATTGTTAACTTCTTGAAAAAGAACTTGGCAAAATGACAGAAATGAGGGTGACGGTACAAAATTATTGTTTTCCACATTATTTTATAGCATGAAGTATTCCACTTGTACAAAATGTAGTTGAGCGTGTTATACTATATATCATGTTATCTTACTCTCTCTAAGTGCTGAGTGCTAATCACTGAGCAGAGAAGCAGTATTTACCATTTTTCAAGTCTTAAAAGTTTGGTATGACACAGCTAGAGTTTGAATCCCATATTGCAAAGAGAAGACACATTGCACCAGTGTCCAAAGTTATAAACTACCGGTAAATGCGACACCAAAAAAGTTTTTCATCCTCTTTCTATATTCTAAAACACAATAAGGCACCATGTACAGCATTTATTTGCTATTTTTTTCACATCTCATCTTGACTTACTGGCCAAAAACATTTTCCATTTTTTATGTACAATGTAATCATGAAAACATGATTGGATTGGCATCATTTAAAAATTTTCCATGGAAGTATTTCTCAAATGTTGATTTTCAAAGAAAGAATGTACTCTATGGTACATTTTATTTTTGCATAGCAATTTATGTAAGTCATCTGTTGCAGATAGTATATACAAAGCTGGGAGAACCCATTAGCAATTATGACTGGTTCGCTGTGCACTGAAGCTAGGCCGTTGTTAACAAGTGGTTTTGGATTAAGAACTTTGCCTTTTAATTATTCACCAGCCTGATGAAATTATTTATGGAATTAAGGCCACACCAATTTAATTTGTTGGTTCTCGGATTCGCCTCTTCGTTTTTTTCTGATTTGCAAAAAAAAAAAAAATTTGGTTCTGGTCCTGAATCAACTGAAAAATGCTCATGTTTTGCCCCCAACAGTTGAGGAAAGTCCTTTTCTTCCTAGTTGTTACAGTTTTCCCATCTATCATTGCAGTGGTTTGATTAAAAGTTCAAAATTCAATGTTTAAATTTTAACCCGGCCTTTTATGTTGACTTCATGGCTCATTTCGTAGCATTTAAGCCTATAATAGGATGCCTAGACCTGTTTTTATTTTTATTTTTTTCGCCCTGTCGCTTCATATTTTTTCTGAAAAAATCCGAGAACCAACAAATTAAATTGGTGTGGCCTAAGTTGAAATGTAGCGCATCAAACACTGGGATTAAATTAGGAAAGAAGCTTTCAACGGTTATTTGACAATTTACATCATACAGTTAAAGCAACACATGCACCCATACTATTGAAGCTTATGTTCCCCACTACCTGAGTTGTATCTACATTGTAAGAAACAGGCATATTCCTTGGAATGCAAGTAGTAATAACTTAAGGAGCTTGGATCCACCAAATGAAGGTTACGTCTTTACAGAAAGTGTTGTTTCTTATTTTTCTTCTTCCCACCATTGCCATTCTCCTTCACTTCTGTCTCCAAGAACCCCTGCAGATGGGAAAAAAATTGAAATCATAAATTAGGAAAAAAACTGATGGAGCTTTAATAACAATAAATGATAGCTTTGTGTCAATATACATGTATGAGATTTTGTTTGCTTTTGGTTGGAAAACTGAACCTTAACACATACAAGGATTTTGAGTTACTAAACGTGCCCTTCATCTTGTGTTTTTTATGCATAAGATCTTCTTCTTCTACAGTACCACTTTCAAGAGCAGATATTTATTGAATTATTGATTGATTGGTTGTCTCACCTTTATTGCTGTTCCGACACCGTTCAGGTCCAACAGGAATGTGTCATGCCCAAATATGGAGTTCAGCTCAAAGTATGTGACTGCTTCATTTCCTAAAGATGTAGAAAAAAATCAGTTACCAAACACAAACAGCACACTTCCTGGCTTGTTTTCCTACAACTTCTCTATGCCCTTTGTCCCTAGCCTGGTGTCCCGCCTTGTTAGCTTCCAAGACCCGTTACCCAGCTTGTTGGCTGGGGAGAGGACCAACCTTAACAAGGCTGTCCCAAGGCCATCAACCCTAACCTATGACCTGTTAACCTACAAATGTATAACCTGACATGGTGAATGTAGTAACTTGGCCAACAGATCTCTTGGATTTCACATGAGGAAGAAATATGACCATGGCCTCTAAGCTATGATGCTACCCCCTATCCTCTAACCTTACCCTATGACCCCTTACCTATGACCCAATGTTGCTCCGTACTCCCATGACCATGATGAGACAGAAACCTATGACCCTACTATGACCCCTAACCTATGACCCTTACTGACCTGCTTGATGTAACAGTTTGGCCAGCTCTCTCTGCTGCCACACCGGGAAGAGGATGTCGCTCTGTACTCCCATGACCATGATGGGACAGCGAACTCTCTGCAGCCCCTCCACCATGCTGCTGTAACCATCACTGATGTCAAACAGGTCCATAGCCTGCAAGGGAGACAGACATGGTCATTAACACATGTAACCATTGACATCTGCTCTATGACCGCGTAATTGCTGATGTATGCTTTTTGAGAGGGGGATAGTGTCACAGTAGGTTGTAATTACAGTGACAAGGCAATTGATTTTTAGCCATCAGACTTTGACTAGGAATAATTTCTGTTTGAAAACAAATTTTCTGTGTGCATGACCAAACAAAGGAAATGAGTAAAAACATTGATAGCAGATTAACAAAATTATAGAGAGACTTATAAGTAGATTTAACAAATGGCATGACTGAAAGAAAGATTCTGTACCCACCTTGGAGATGTAGAGCAGGGAGTTCGGGTCATACTTAGACATGAACTGTGCGCCCTGGTAGTCGATGTAGCTTTCGATCTCAAACGTCGGGCACAGGCTCACGTTTCCGTTGATCTTCTTCCTGCTGAACCTGATCTCCCACTCCGGACCACTGCGGTACGTCGTGGTCGCGATCTCCCTATTGGCAATGATCAATCAATTAATTCATCAATTGGGACCTCCCTGAAGGTAAAGAATTCCTCAAGGCACCGAATACAGCAAGTTAAGTCTTGGAGTCAAAATACTGTTCAACTCAATCAGGCAAGCTGAGCCATATTAGAAAGATAAACATACTTTATGTGATTACTGATGTATGCTTTTGGAAAAGGGGGATAGTGTATGTTGCCACAATTTAGTAAGTCACTTTGAGACCAACCAACAAGCTGTTACATGTACACCCAAGCTTTGCACATATATATATATAACCACAGGGGTTGTTTAAAGCTATGAAGTAATCAAGTCTCCCATCCTACCTGGCCATTTTCATGCCCTGCCCTGGGTACTTCCCGTCGTAGTAGTACCCGTTGTTCCAGTGTGGGTCCTGCATGATGCAGCGCCGCTGGAGATACCTCATCGCGATGGACGCAGGGTGGGACTGAGCACAGGCTGAGATGGAAACCACCCTGTAAATTAACAAACAAACAACATCAAGCTTAGAGGTACCCCATTTTGATGGAGCAACATAAACACGAATGTGTGTAGATATGTAAATATTGTACGTTTGTTTGGGAATGCATCTATAGCAGTGACACCTGTGCTGCAGTGCAATGTGAACCAGTCAGAATTGCCCCGAGGAAGGTGACAGATGGTCAAAACGTCGGCTGAATAAAAGACTTGGTTGTGCAATAAAAAGAGTCTTTTTACTCAAGTTACCAACCTGATGAAACTATTCACGGATGGGAAGCAATGTAAAATCGGAAATCTGAATGCAAATACCTATTACTGGTACTAACAAGCTATATACATTGTATATTATAACGTTACCACAGTGATCATCTCAGGAGTCGAACAACTGACGTGTACATTCTGTATGATCATTGGTATCCAAGGCAACAGTTGCCATGGCAACATACTGACCTGCCCACTCTGTCTGGGTACAGTGCCCCCGCCATTAACGATATCATTCCTCCCAGGGACGGGCCCACGGACGCATGGAGCTGCAAGAATTAGAAAAAGGATTTGAAAGTTGGAAGACAATGGTTCATTTGTATCTGGAGACCCGGATACATTCTGACCGAGTTGAAGATGCTATGATACTGATAGAATAGACGGGAAGGAACGCTCTTCAAAATGATGTGCAAAAGTCTGGTGTGCTGTGAGAGGTTTACCTTGTCAATGCCCAGATGGTCCAGTAACATGAACTGGGAGTTCACCATGTCTGCTACAGTCACTATGGGGAAGGTTGTGGCATAGGGCTGTGGGCAGAAAATAATTATATCATATTCATAATGATTTTATCTCCTCATAGTTAACATGAGTGATCCAGTGAGATTCTATCTACTAGTATAGAAAGCTAGTAGGTTAATTGAAATTTAACAAACATGATCCTATTAGGACAGAAACACTTGAAACTCTGTACCTGGTCTGTGAGAGGATTCTTTGAAGATGGTCCCCTGGAATAAAAAAAAAAGGTAAGGTTGTGGCACCAATTGGAATGGCACCAATTTGCATTTGTTGTTGAGATAGGATGCAGAGAGGTTAAGAAGACTTAAAGACTCATGAGGACGCTTAGCAGTCTCTGATGTTGTTTACAGCTTATTTACTTTAGTATTGACTTTCATCCTGCTAAAGTAGCATTTTGATGTGAAAATTGTGACGAGAGCAGACTACTCACGAGGATCCGTAGCAGCCCCCAATGTTGTTTGCACAGATGACAAAGAAGTTATTTGTGTCTATGGCACAGCCCGGACCAATGAACGCTTCCCACCAACCTGGAGACGGATTCTCCTGGGAGAGGAAGGAAGGAGGGAATGAATGAATGTATGAGAGAATTAATTAATGAATCAGAATGATAGTTATATATACATATATATATATATATATATATATAGTGTCCATTGTTTTCTCCTGCTTTTCCAGGTGCTATGTGCAATCAGCCTTCAGGCAATAATCTTTGCATTGTGTAAAATGAATGAATGATTTTGATCATGCTTTATGTGTCCCATCCTCTGTAGTTTCCGCCGGCTCTCTATTAAATGTCGGTAGCCAGCGACAGCTGGTGGACACTACGGAGGATGGCACCCAGGCTAATGTTAGGCCATTCTGATTTAATGATATAAATGACATCCTTGGGCTCATACCTCGTGACTTCTGGCGTGTGAGTTTGCGGACAGGCCAGTGTGGATGATGACGGCGTTACTCCGTGATTCGTTCAGCCGTCCCCACGTCTCGTATGCCACCTCCAGCTCCGGCAGAACACCCCCGTTCAGCTCGCAATGGAACGGCTCGTCCGACTGGAACAGTTTGTAACCCGACACCACCTTCTGGTAGGTGGGATCTGGGCCCTGCAGGGATCTAGAACGGGAAATAAACAAAACAAATAAACAAAACATTCATGAAAGGAAGCAAATTTTAACCCAACACCCTTGTCTGGAATGTAGAAACACCAGTAACCTGATACCACTGTGGAAACAAAAAAACTTCCATATAAGGAGCACCTGTAACCTGATACTACTGTGGAAACAAAAAAAACTACCATATAAGGAACACCTGTAACCTGATACCACTGTGGAAACATGAAAAAATTCCATATTAGGAAAATCTTGTAAGCCAACACCACTTTTTATTTATTAGTATGTGGAAACAACAAAGCTTTCCTATATGGAACACCTGTAACCAAGGTGGTAATATTGCAGTAAGTAATGTGCTGGATGTAACCCAACACCTGTGAAAACTGTGAAAATAACAAAACTTCTGTCTGACTGATAAGGAATCAGAGAGGGCTGGTCGGTGGGTGGGTGGGTCGGTGGGTGGGTCGGGTTTGTTACATGGGTGAGTTAGTGTTTGGGTGGGTGGTGTTCGATCTGGGAATATGGCAAAATCATAAAATGATACTAGGTTAGGA